TCAAGAGAATTTTATTATCTCTAATCTTGACAGTAAAGAATGAGTGTATATTTTTGTCAAAAAGTGTTTATGGGGAGTCCATAAAGAAAACTGGAAGTAATGTCAATCACCGATGCCAACGTGTCCTCGAATTTTGTCTGAAGCCACATCGGTCAGGGTGGGTGGGTGTTGTCTCTTTCCACGCTCATCCTCACCCACACCCACCCATCAATATTTCATGTCAAAGTATTGGAGGTTTCATGTTTCCTTCGGATCACAGCAATTAAAATATGAAAGTTGGTGTTACACAAAAACACATGAAAAACAAAAGTCTATCACTTTTAGTGTATATAAATCAGTTTTCTTTCTTTTATAAGCACAAATCAAAATGCCAGTTACATATTTGTATAGCTCAAAGATTGTACTAAAATGTCACACATAATTTGTAATCATTCATCTGTATGAGTTTTAGTTCTTCAATGGATGCATTTGCATCTAAAATTTTTCATTCTATGATCGTGTTGTCATAGTTTTCTCTCAACGCTTTACATTGTGCACCTTTTACTGATAATAAAGCATCATCCATATTAGGCTCTAAGTAAGCATAATATTTCCATGAAAATGTTATTCTTAGAACTTTTTAATGACGGAGCTGAAAAGCTACAATAAGCAACAACAAAAGATAAAATAAACAAAAAGTTATAAGATACAACATTATTTTGAAGCTTTTTTTTATCCATAGTGTATAAATTAGATTTTCATTCAGGAACTATGGCAATATACCAATATTTGTGATCAAATATAGTTGCAGCAGTGAAATTAGAAACACTTTTTTGAAATCCGTCGCGGCACGTTTATTTTAGAATTCACCGCGGCAACTTTTTTTTTATAAGTCATCGCGGCGCGGCAACATTTTTTTATGAATCGTCGCGGCGTGGCAGCGGCAGATTTTCAGCCACGATGGACATCCCTGTACCATGGATACAGCTCAAACAAAAGCAAAACACACTTTCCAATGAGCTACAAGCAAAGGTAGAATCTATTATAAGATTTACTATAGTAAAAAAGTTAGCCGCATACAAAATTAGTCATTCTACTAATCTAAAACAGAATAAGCACACAAGCTTTCTATTTTGTATGACTCCTTTCAAGAATAGAAATGCGTAACAAAATAGATAAACGAGGATTCGCTTTACGAAAATTATAAGCAGTGATGGATGATAAAGAGCTGAACGGTTAGAAAACACTAGGTAAGGTGAAATACACTCAAAAAAAGATAATTGACATGTTTCAACACAACTGCCACAACTATAGTTGACAATATTGTTGCTATGAATCCCATTTTACTTATTGTCGTCACACAAGCACTGAATGTCTCTTTCATATATTTTATTCATTTGTGAAAAATCAAGGATTGAATTCGATCAAGAACTTCTTTTAAAAATGTTGTTCAAGATAAACTTCACTTTACAAGTTCAAAATAAATGTGTAAACCTCGGATTTAAATCCGAGAGTTATGTGTACTTCAAAAGGTGAATTAGGTAGATGAATCATCCTACAATGTGTGGGCATAAAAATTATCCTCACAAGCCTTTTCTACAAACACTTGATTTCTATTGGTTAATGCTCAACCAATAGGATTTGGGGGCGAATATAGCTCAGATTTGAACTCTTCGCCTTGAATTATCCTGAGAAAGTCGTTTTTCCTATAACTTGATTTCTATTAGTTACTGCTCAACCAACAGGATTTTGAGGCAAGTGGAGCTCAGATTCGAGTTCTCCGCCCTAGAAAACCTCGAAGTATCATCTCTGTGATGAGAAGATAGAGCTCTAATTGTGGATCAATTAAAGCGTGAACAAAAGCCGAACCAATTTCCGTTTACTTATCTTTGCAATAGGTGACTTAGCCTTCTTGTTTCTTTATGTTTTATATACTATTTTGTAGCTCGTGGAATTCTCTATCGATTGGTATATAATAGTTGGGGTTTTACTTGACTATGATAGGAAAAGTTTTTTTTACGAAAACGGGGATAGGTCGATCTTCGCATAGGAAAGCATAGGGAATAATGACTATTTTTCCAATAACTCAGCAATGGCTCGGCAAATCATTCTCATCTTCGAACTCGACAAAGATATTGTTGAGACTAAACTGTTTAGAAAATTTCATCGCGATCGGACTCTCCTTTCAAAAGTTATCGTGTAAACGGCCGGACGGACACACTGACCGATTCTAGAGTGTACTCACTTTTTGAGTACACAAAAAGGATGTGAAAAATTGAAATATCAATAGCAAGCGTTCGAAAGATCAGAAATATCTGAACAGTCCATTATTTTTGTGCAGATATATCTAATTTTGATCAAATCCTCCTCATTGCTATCTTAGTGTTCTTCATAAATATCTCATAAAACTCTTTCAAGTAATCTTCGTAAAAGACAAGTATTACATGTTAAAATGACCACGATATTTTCATCAGGTTCTCAGTTCGTTTAATTAAGAAGCCTGTTTATATATCCTGCCCTGCCCTGCCCTGTAACGGTCTCTGTGAGAGAATCGGTTTCCTTATCTACAATAACATTTATTGACTCATTCAATTGATCATGCCGATTGCACCTTCGATCCATTTCCATCAGCCATTATTTAACCTTTGCTTTCAATACTTTTTCATTTTTCAATAGAATGATTACAAATGTTAGCAGCATAGATGGTTTGATCATAATCCATATACATACCAATTGAACAATAAAATTGATCTAATTGATTTTTCTTCATCATAACATCCAAATGTATTGATAGCATTTTATTTCCATTTGTAATTGATCGAAATATTATATTTTGAACATTGAATTGTTCTAAAATTTTATGATAAAATTATTTTTGATCTTCGAAATCGAATTTAATCTATTGAGAAATAATGATTAAAATTGATCTTTTCTTATTTCTATGTTATCGAGTATTGAAATCAATTTTTTTAATTGTTATTAGAAGATTTTCTATAATTTATATATCGGTCTGTTTGCTCCTCGCTAAAAAACAAGATCGTTGAAAACTGACATCGCCGAAACGACATGGAAACTTACGATACATTCCTATAGTAATTTTGACGATGTCAGTTTTTGATAATCTTTTTTCCGGTGATGACATACACAACTCATATATTCAATAGAAGAAAATAATCAAATTTGATCTTCTATCATTTAAATATGATAAATACATTTACTAGAAGATGTAATAACCGATAGTTTATTAATAAATAATAATAAACAATCTTATTTATTTAAAAATGAATGTTGATATATAAAATTGATTTTCTATCTGTTCGAATTTTTGTTTCAATTGATTGAAAACAATTTCATTATATCTGTTAATTATTTTGCTAATTGTTCGAATTTCATTTCTATTTTATTAATATAACTATACGTATATATCATTACTAATTCTCTTGCTTCTTCAACTATTTGTTAAATATTCTTCTTCTTATTGATTAATTTGTTTGATTATAAAAATTATTATTCTCGATTGGTTTTTTATTCAATTAAATTTTGTTGAAAAAGATTTTATTTATTTTCAATTTCATCTAATTGTTTTCCAACTTGTCGATCATGATTTGATAAATGATTAATACAAAAATTTCATGAAAAATCTTCACATTTATAAACAACATTTTCCTTTGTTTTATAAGTTACACATTCACTTTTACCAGTTGTTGTAGTCACGTATTGTTTGTGATAAGTAAACTGAAATAAGAATGATGAAATATATCTCATTTTATTGTATCAAACATGTCAATCAACATCATCTTAATATTCTGTTGGAAAGGAAAAAGAAAAGGGTGAATCCGTAGAGTTTCTACTACTTTGTGGAAGAAAGGTGTTCTATGTCAATGTTTTGAAAGTAAGGTTTCTTTTCACTTTTAATAGTCTAGTGAGATGTATCATAGTCGAAAACGGTCTGAGGCAACAATTAAAACCTTTTTGGACATATAAAGTATGCAGAACCACACCAGTTTTTAGGAACACTCTATACCGATAAAGGGTAACCCATAATAACTGATGATAAACTGTTCATCATATTTTTCATACTTTTTGTTGACATAGAGAGCTGAAATTTTTATCACATATATATATCTAATCAAGACCTTTTATTTCTGAAATTTTCAGCTCTCTAGCTAAAACTAATGGTGAAATATATCAAGTTTGCACTCGATTTTTCAAATAATTTAATAGTAAAAATATGCAAAAACCAAGTACGAAACTTCATGTATTTTAGTCTTGTCGATGAATTTCACCATTAGTTATAGCTAGGGAGCTGAAATTTTCAAAAATAAAAGATCTTGATTAGATATATATGTAATAAAAATTTCAGCTCTCTATATCAACAAAAAGTAAGAGAAATATGATTAACAATTTATTATAGGATACTCTTTATGTGTGTGGAGTGTTCCTAAAAAATGATTTGGTTCTCCACACTTTATATGCTCAAAAAGTTTTTAATTGTTGCCTCAGACCGTTTTCGACTATGATACATCTAACTAGACTATTCAAAGCGAAAAAAAACTTTTTTTCACAATAGTGGTAGAAATCCCTTGGATTCACCCAAAAAGAAAGATTTGTTGTTAAATTATTCTCTACATTGAGAATAAACACACCGATTTGATTGTTGTATTCATTCTAAAAAAAAGATTTCATTGATCTGAGCTTTAATCTATGAACATTATCAAATGACATGAGAACACTAATGGATAATAATGAAAATCTTGGCAACAACTTGAAGTTATTTGTTAAATCTAAACTTTTTCAATAGTTATATCAAAATTTTATTGATTATTTTATTAGATCTATGCACAAAAGAACAAAACGAATATTTGTCAAAGTTATGTCCATTTTAAATAAATATTATCAATTATACGTTCAATTGCAAATTGGAAAAGTAATTGTTCATCTTTAATCATTTGTTTTAAATTATCGATCATTAGATCATCGGCTGCTGGTATATGAAAACATAATGAACGAATGTAACAAAAATTATTATTATAAATGTCCTTCAGAAGCATACGTAAAAACAATTCAATATTCATATTTAATTGTTTTATTTGAACAAATTTCATATAAGGACAAAGGAGTGTCATTTTATCAAAATCTTCAATATTATTTATTTCTTCAATGTAAACTTGAGTAATTTTGCTTCGATATTCTACTATACCAAGAGTATAAACTTTTTTAACAGCAACTGTTGTTGTTTCAGGGTGTGGGTATGAGGGTGTTGGTGTGGGTGGGTGTGGGTGTACGGATCACTTTAATCACACCCTCACCCACACCCACATCTACACCCACACCCAACTGGCCTACGGAAGTAATGATTTTTACCATGGTGCTCATGAGAAATATGAGAACATAAATGTCGTGACATTGATGTATGCGGACGACTTAGTATGTACGTGTAACAATACGGAAGACCTGAAAAAATTCGTTCATATATTTGAAAATATAACTCAAAAGTATGGACTCATCATGAATGTAAAAAAAACTAGTACAATGTCATTAGAAAGCTCGAAAGAAGATTCAAATGGAAATACAATGGTGCAACAACAAATAGACAACATCAATAACGACATTGTTATCAGAAACCAGAAAATTGAAGTAGTTGACTCCTTCACTTATCTCGGATGTCTGATCTCTAGAGATCAGAAACTTGATAAGGAAATAGAATCACGGCTAACAAAAGCAACAATGACTTTCAACACGCTACGTGGCATAATCTGGTACAGAAAAAAGATGTCGATCACGGCAAAGCTACGTATTTTTAGGTCATGCGTAATGCCAGTACTATTGTACGGAAGCGAAACATGGACACCAACATTATCTCAAGAAAATAGACTCAACAAGTTATACAAGAAATGCTTACGAATAATACTAGGTGTGAACCTAGGTGATTGTGTTTCAAATGCGAACATCCTACAGCTAAGTGGCCAACCAACAATGAAGAATATCCGTAGAAGAAATCGTCTCAGATGGTTTGAACATGTGAACAGAATGGAAAAGGATAATGAAGCATCTCTGGCGAAAAAGTTATGTTTTGTTACTTTCCTGATATTAAACGACCTTGTCATATAGGTGTCAGAAAGCGATGGGAGTCTAAAATTCTCAACGACATCGAAAAATTCAAAATCAACAACTGGAGACGTGTCACGAAGAATAAAGACAAATGGCGAATGTTAATTAACAAATTTACGGAAACAAAGGCTGTTCATCCAAATATTAAAAACATTTTGTATGAATACCAACAGCGTGCTGTCAAAAGAAGATTTGAAGAATCAACTGGAACAACAGGATCAAAAGTAACTGAGATTCTAGTGAAAGATGTAAAAAATATGTACACTTGTCCAGAATGTCACAAAAAATTCAAATCACAAGGCATGGCAAATCATGTGAAAAGCTGTGCCAAAATATGGTGCAAAAAAAACAAAACTAAATAAACAAGTTTGTGGAATGGAGAACGAATTGGAGGTATGGATGTTTCAGATATAAATGAAGAGTGTCATCTAAAACCAATTGGAAGATGATAATCTGAAGAATAATCTGCACTATGATCTCTAATGAACGAACAGAACAGAGACCAACTGGTATACTCTCTTCTTTTATTAGTTCTATACATTTTTTTCTTCTTTTTCTTTCTTTCTATACAGTTCTGTTTTTTTCTTCTTTCTTCCTACTTTTTTCTTCTTTCTTTCTTACTTCTTCACATTCTTCCTCTATTCTAATTTCTCTACGTCTTTTCCTATTATTCGTATCTTCTATCCACATTCTAGCCTTCTTTATCTCCCACCTTTTCCCTGAGTCCTTTCTCAATTATCTTTTCTTTTTCCTCTCTTCTTGCACACTTTAATATATTCAACTTTATTTTTTAGCTATTTTAGTAATTACTCTGTCTCACCCTAAACCGTAAGGTATGGGTATCACATACTTACTACTACAGTCTGAATTTTGAATATATAAGGAAAAAATATAATGTTAATAATTCGTGAACAAATAATTATTATTATTAGTATCAAAATCGTATTTTATTGTTGCTTAGTTTCATTAAATAACATTAAAGTAACGACTTCGTATAGCCATTTTAGTTTTTAATATTTGTAGAGAGTTGGAGTACCAGAAGCTTCTGGTCCCAGATTATCATTATAGCTCGTTTATTCGTAAAAAATCACACAGTTGAAGGTTCTCAAAACAAGTGAAAAGCTTCAAATTGAGCAAATATATATCCAGATTATTGTCATTCACGTGGCATCTAAGTAATATGTGTATACCGTTTCGATAAAAAAAATCAATCATTTTTCCAGAAATGTCCGCGTTGTAATACTCCGACCTCATATATAATCTATCCCCTATCCTCGATTGAAATTTCTTTACTTTGTTCTTCTCCTGTATGTACGTTGGAGGTACATCATTGGTTTGCCCCTCTCTCATACATATTGTTAACTGCAAAAGGAATAACCATAATATCCTTTTCCGTTCTGTATATGCACTTTGGAATAACATGCTTGGTATGTTTTTCTCTCGTGCATAATGATATCCATAAAAGGAACAACCACAATATTCTTTTACGTTCTGTTTATGTACTTTGGAATGACATCCTCGGTGCGCTCTTCTCTCGTACATAGCGTGATCCATAATTGTGCTCTAACTTTTGTTCTTCTCGTATTTTTCTGTTATTGTGTTCGCTGTACTTCTCAAGATCGTTCTGCATATACGAAGTAGTATATAAGGAACGAGAAAAATACAGCAGATGAAACGTTTTCTTGTTATACCAATAAAATATACTTAGAGTAGCTTTTAAGTGATATCTCTTACAACAGAAATCGTTGCACTCGTCTTTCGAGTTTTTCTTAATTTATTCAGTAATCAAATAATAATCAAAGATTAAGCTTTTAATGTATAGATTTATCACGATGACGCTTATGCTCAAGTGTTTTTCACTTGAACTGGAATTGAATGTGTCGTGACCAAATTCCAATTGGTTGAGAACTCACCAAGGAATAAGGTAAACGATACTTATCTTTTGTGATTTGATATAAATCTCTATTTACAAAAAATAAACTCAATATAAGGTATATTAACGATCGCTTTATCTTACTCTAACCTTCATCATAATTTCTCGCGTATAATATATTTTACTTAGGATTTTCGAACATGCTTTACTTATTCCCAAAGGAGCTGAATATTACTGTTCACTTTTACATCGTATTTAATAAAAATATTGATCACGAACACCATCTCTTTTTACTTTTTGTGTATTAAAATTCAGCTAGCTTTTGATTCTTCAAGTGCACTATGGACGTAGTTTTCGTAATGCTATCAGATAAACCGCCCACACTTCTAGACAGCTAGACGTTTTGATATTAATGTTAGATATTAAGGCATATCTCAATCCCAGAAGATCAAGAATATTTCGAATGGTTGTTTTACATGAATTTTAATAATGCATTCACGCATCCCGTGTCCAGTCTCAAAAACAAATGTTTGCTTTAATTTTTTTACCATCCTCAACGATTTTAATAAGTAAGCGGCATTTTCATATTGAAAAACTAATACTTTCTTCTCTTTCTATCTTAGATACTGAATGATTCGGTCTACAAAGTTAGTATCGTATTCATCCTGAAAAATGAATGCTTTCTTTCATTTCTATTTCACATTATACACAATTTGATTTCATAAGTACGTCTCATGTTCATATCGAAAACCTAATGCTTTCTTTTATTTCTCGTTCAGATTATATATCACTCGACTTACAATGTCAGTGTGATGTTCAAAATTGAAAAGCTAATATTTTTTTAAAGATCGTCAATGATTGAATAAAGTAAGTTCCATTTTCATATTGAAAAACAAATGCTTTCTTTCATTTCTATATTAGATTATACACGATTCGAGTTACCACGTAAGTCTGATGTTGATATTAAAAGACTAATCTTTTTTTTCTATTTTTAGATAATGAATGATGCTATGTGGAACGTCGGTTTCTGTCCGTCTTTCAATAACCGACTATTGGATTGCCTTCAGGATGTGGGTGTGGGCATGAGATTCTGTTCATTTATACTCAGACCTACACTCACACACCTTCTTTTAGAGAGTAGTTTGTAGGATATAGTCATTGTGGTGTAGCAACAACGCAGGTTGATTTGTAGTGACTACTGTGAATTTTAATCGTTTTCTAATTGATTCTTAATCGATTAAAACTCGATTATAATCATACGCTTCAATTGATTATTAATCAATTAGGAATCTATTAAAATCAGTCTTAATCAATTTTAATTGATTAATATAGTAGAATAACTGTTTCCGTGATTATAACCGATTATGGCTGATTATAATCGATTATGAATAATTATAATCGATTTTTAATCACATTGTAATCGACTTTAATCTGATTTTTCCCCTATTTTTTCACATGAAAACTACACATCCACACTCACATCCTCAGGTTCGGATTCGGGTCCAACAAATGGTAAACGGGTCCGGGCCCGGGTAGAAAAATTTTGAATAATGGGGTCCGGGTCGGGTTCCGAGTCCAAAAATCTTGGACCCGACGGGCTCTAGTCCACGCCCCACACCTACGCCCACACCACCCATACCCAGACCCAAATTTGGTCTCCGGCTGCGATGTTTGATGGTTCGGCGAAACGTCTCTTAATATTAAGTGTTAAGTAAAATCACTTAATTACTTAGCTTAATTAAGTCGAATTAAAAAGATGATATGGTAGTAGGTTGGAATATGTAGTTTCACCCTTGAGTTTATTCGCTTTGCTTCAAAATGAATCTGTAATAACCACTGAGCATGCAATTAGCGACAGACTATCGATGACCAATTTTCATATCTTTGTCCCTCAGAAAGAGTAGATTTATTTCATTTTTGCTGATAATTTCTGAGCCATGCGATGAGAAGACTCTATTTGGCACGCGAGGACGCATCGTAGTTCGCAATGTTGAATATTCCGAAATCGATTCCTGCCCGAAACTAACTCCAGAAATTCTGGGAACACAATTATTACTCGATACAAGAGACATAGCAGAGATCGATCGAGTTCCAGCAATTCCCGAAATTCTGAAAATTGAATCGAGACAGAACTACAAACAATGTCGTAAAATTCCGTGTAATTCCGTATGAAAGTAATTCTCGGAGTTCCGGCCGGAATTACTTCTAGCCTTATCCTCATGCAAGCTGATGTGGTCAGAGATTAAGCTCTAGAATATGTATGTAATACTGAATAGCCTAGTCGATACCAAGAATTCCGAAAACTCGATTAATATACTTCAGTGATTGCTTGTTGTAGGATGGATGCGTTCTCGGAGTTCCGGATATCAATTCCAGCAGCGAAATCGATCCCGCTATGTTCAACATTGCGGAATAGGACGACTGCTACGATTTTCTTGAATTTGATTTGTTTATCTCTATTGCATATTTCAGATGACATCTTCTTCTCCACCTTACACCATTGTTTATGGGAAAACTATGCTATGGGAAACTTCAAACCCATTGCTAACGTTGTGGTTCGATAAGCCCGATGATATGATCGAAACATTTCGAGATCGAGATAGTATCCACGGAGGATATCCACTTTTTAAGTTACAGAAAAACATGCTGTCTCGTTCTGTACGAATTGTAGTTCGCAATTATGTATTCTCAACTCAGGTGACGATTATTAATGCTAACTCGATCGCTGATGCAAGACTCGGATATCAGTATCTTGTCAATATGGTACTTGGAGAGAATGATCTAGCAAATCCCGAGACAGTAAAATTCGTACTTGAGCATCGCCAGGCGTTGCCTGGAAGGCGCTTTCAAAGCTTCATCAATCCTGATGCTAATCGATTTCCAGATTCGATGCTTCAACCGTTTGATCGCAGGTGGAATCCAGCGGATTTCGAAGCTGATATCATTCTTGTCCATGGACTTGGAGGAAACTCTCTAAGAACGTGGAGCAATAGTAGTGGTCTGTGGCCAATTGTTTGGCTTTTGGATTCACGCATTGGCATCAGAAGCATGCTCGGACAATATGGTATCAATAATCTACCATCAGCAAACAAAATCCGTGTTCTCACTGTTAGTCATCGCGCTGCAATGTTTAACATCGATGATGAATCAGATCCTCAAAACATTGCACGACGTCTTGTAGGACTCTTGTTTCATGCAGGCGTCGGATCTAAGCCGATCGTCTGGCTTGCCCATAGCCTTGGAGGACTAATTGTTAAAGACATTCTTTCCTTTACTTTTGAAAGCACATCACGGCGAGATATATTCAACTCGACGAAAGGTGTCATTTTCTTTGGGACACCGCACTGTGGTGCAACGTGGGCTAGTACTTTACGACAGGGCAATGCCATGCATAACGCGCCTGCCCTCAGGTATCTGGATCCTACACCTGCCATTGGTGGAGAAGCTGGAAATGATCACAATCTTCAAGCTTTGAACGCGTTTTTTTCTCGAATCACAATTCCCTTCCTGAATTTCTCTGAAGGTAGGATGTGTACTCCGCCATTCATATCTCTTTTATCTCCGTTGGTAAACATCATTGTTGTTCCCGATGCACAAGCGCGAATTGTTGGGTGCGTTTATGTCGAATCGATGCAACTGACAGAACAAATGGCAGAGGGAACGCTTCCACCACGAGTGCATTATCCTTGCCAAGATTGCGATCATATGAATATTGCAAAGCCATCTAACCAAGATCATCCGACTTATCGTATCACAAAAACATATGTGGCAAACTGGCTTCAATATCATGCCGTCGCTGTTGACTGTAATGGACGCGTGAATTGAGATGACTTTACTAGAAGCATTATTGATACAGTTCGAATGTATGCGCTTGTAATCGACCGTATTACTGACGAAAACAAAATTCAACAACTGATCAATGTTTCGACAGCGGTGGCGTTAGTCCTTAGAACATTGACAATTAATAAATTCTTAATCATAATGGCATTTCTATCTGGTGCTGTAGTTGCTATTGGAACTGCCAGAATTGGAACAGGTACCGCTATGGGAGGCTCTATAGGAGCTGCTGTCGCTGTTCTTGGATTGATTGCCGCAGCGTTGATCGCTAGTGTTCTCGCCTTGTGCTTGGCTCCTATAATTCGAGAACTGTTGACGAATAATTCGGTAGCAATACGTGAATTGGTCAATTTAATAAGTGCATATGTGATGCCAGACTTCCAAGACATACTTTCCAACGCCCAATCCGAACAAGAATTAGATGCCACTCTCAACTATCTTCGGCGAACTGCTGCGCAAACAATTTGTTGTGTATTTCTCGAATCGGCGCGACCGGATATGATGCTACGTGATTCCTATGCTATCCGGGCTGCTGTTACTAGACATGACAATCGAATCCGCCAAGCAGAGATACTTATTGCTCATTTGTCGCAGGCTACGAACGGTATAACTACGATCAGCACTGACGAGGATGAACAAAGAGCACGAGCAATTCTTACAGATGCATTCATTGATCAAGTATTTCCTCAGTACTTAACTAGTAAGTAACGCTACCTTCTTTCCGATATCGACATTTAATTTCTAGTAGCGATCATCCTTCGGTAGCAATAAGAAAGCTATTGGAACCATAGCTGAATATACTCTGAAAAGCTGTAGAGACTGCCCATAGATAGTCCTTGCAAAATTATAGGGACCACTTTTAGATAGGGCTTGACAAGTTGTAGGGAACACCCCTAGATCGCCCCTAGGAAAGTTATAGGGACTACCCTTCGATAGCCATAAAAAACTTATAGAGATCACCCATGAATAGGCCTCGACAAGTCATAGGGACCGCCGTCAGTTAGCCCTTGAAAAGTTATAAGATAGCTCATATGCAAAGAACTGGTGACCAGCTCCAGCTGATGTGAGAAAAGCGAGACCTGTCCGAATTCCATGAATTCCGAACTCTTGAGGAATTCTTGAATTCAAAAATTGTTTAATACGAACGGGCACTAAGAAACCACAGCATAAGGTGGCATAAACAAATTCACGGATCTCACGGATCCCAAGGAATTCAAGGATCCCAAAGAATTCAGGGATCCCAAGGAGGATATAGGTGTCACTTAAACCGAAACTGCAGCCCACACCCGCACCAACACACACCACCGACGTCCCACACCCTGTTCGACCTAGAATAAGGGGTTAGAATACGGAAATAGATCTGGATGAAGAAGTTAGATTAGGGGATAAAATAAGGTTCGTGAGTAAGTACCAAAAACCTATTGAAGATGTTCGAAGTCTCGAAAACCTTCAATAGGTTTTCGGGATCGTGAGCTTTTTTGATTGCTTTTGAAGGTCTTTGATAGCTCAGAAATCCTTTCTCGAAAACCTGTAAAGAGTTTCGTATAGTGACAAACTCGGAAATCCTTTATAGGTATCCGACAAACTATTTTTTAGAGGGCACAGGATACGGAGTTTAAAAAAAGTTTCGAAATTTGCAACGAATTGGAAAACTTCTTAAGATTTCGTAGGTTTTCTATGAAATCTTCAAAAAAGATTCCTAGACCTTTGACAAGTCTTCTGAAGGATCTTAGATCGGTACGAAACCTTTGAAAGGTTTCAATTTCATTGCTAAAAAAGGTTCCGTATGGTACCATTTTTTTCAGAGTTGGACATTCTTGCCCGAAACAATATAATGGTAATTTGGCTAGATGAATACATTGGTCGTGACGAAAATTGTCGAGAACTCAAAATGGAATTTCGTAAAATTACCAACAGTTTAAAGATGGTGGACTCCGCCGATAGTTGCCGGCAATGCTTACCACATGTGAAAAATCGAAAACTCTTCTTTATTATTCAAGGCAAATATGCCAAAGAGATTGTTCCTGACATTGTTGAAATTGTACCACCACCAATGAAACCGGTCGTTTACATCTTCTGTTTGCATATGGTCTACTTAACTGAATGGGCTCAGGAACATCAATGTATAATGGAAGGTGGTATGTTCGATCATGAGAAAGTTCTGTTAGCTAGACTTACTAAAGACTTGAACGACTATGTTGAACAAACATCACTTGAGTACAAGGAATATTTGAAAGACTTTCTCACAAAACTTCTGGAAATATTCGTGCGTTATTACCAGGTAAGAAAACACGATCGCATCGCCTCATGAAACAGGCAATGACAAAAACCAAGCCGCAGCCACCATCGCATAATGAACTTTGCCATGTAATAGTCTAGCTGATCTTCTAAACATCGCAAAACAATAACTCTACAAAAGATTGATTTTCCAATTTCTCTTCATAATTACCGACGTTATACAAAATAAAGACACTTCTTCCCGCATTATAGATGTCATGTCCTACTGTATACTTTCTCATTTTATGTATCTTCCGGGTATATAGGGTGGGTAAAAATATTTTTCCAGGAGAGTAAGGCTGTGATTTTAAATAGGTTCAACGGCAAATTTTATACCAAATGAAAGCACGTCAAAAATAGGATCTATCAATATTAAATGGTGGGTGTGGGTGTGATTTGAGAGAGCCCACATCGACCCACATCCAATTTCTACAACAAATATTGATCTTTAAGTTAAATAAAAATTGAATTGTAAATTCAATAAACAAAAGCACACTTGATAATTGTTTTTAAAAACGAGAGAAATTGAACGAATTTTGATTGAAATTTGAATAGAATAATGTTCTTCT